ACGCCGAGAGCTTTATCCACTTTATCCTTTATGGAATGAATATGCTTAGTGTGATGAGAAGTTTCTGACTTGAAGTAAACACTGTAATGGCCAAAACGGGCGTCATGGTTCAAATACAGTACGATTGCTGTTGTATGATTGTTGACAGTCGTAGGAAGTAGAGTGATTGTTATAATTTGATCAGAGCTCCTAGTATTTCGATCTGCATACACTGATTTAAAATTTTCTGACCCATTTTGGATCATCTAGGTTCTGTCTATTTCGGAGATTCTAAATAATTTGTAAGTGTACGAATTCTATATTTCGTGAATTTTGCCGTTTTTTCTTCGGTTTTTAAGTATTCCTCTATTTTTAAAATGAACGAAGGGGCACGTGTTGCGCAGTGGTTAGAGGTGGTGACTCGCAATATACGCCGGATCGGCTGCTGGTTCGATCCCGCTCGCCGTGCTCATCGAGCTTTCCATCGCTTCAGAGTTGGCAGATTGATACCAGGGGAGGATAAGAGCATTCGTTCGATACATTAGCAAGCCACCGTGAGCCATCGTGTAGGCCAGACATGCATTCAGTCACCTCTAACGATGCTTGATGAAATAGAGTGCATAGAGCATCTTTCAGGGACTGATCGACACGAGACGTTTTGTCCTTTAAAGCAGACGAAGTGAAAACTTCGTGGGAAGTACTGTGGTGCAGCACGTCCGGTTGACTCCCTACATGTCTGGCCCTTCATTGTCCTCGATATAGGCGGCCGATTTCGGCCCACGCGCCGCCCCTACCCTTAACTGAGGTGTATCGATCGCCTCTATCGGTTTCCTGGCCGGTCGTTCATTTCCACGCTAGGATTCCTTCTACGTAGTTTGATGCTCTCTCATCCTTAGGCCGTACCATTTTGGAATAAGTTTGTGAAATTTCCGTTCAATACATTGATATATCTGTTTTGCTGGACAATGTAAATCATGAACATGGAAAACTTCGGGGCAAATTAAACCCGTCCATGAACGTTTGAAATCTGGAGGTCATATCACAAAGAGATTCTTCTCAATTTGGAGAAATCGTGGAGTGCTGCAATGTTCTGGTGCCGGTTAGGGGTGGCGTCAAAGGTGCGATCAGACGCATTACAGGGGTTTAGAACAGTTGGTTGTAGGGTCATTGTTCATGATTGTTCTACAATGTCTTTTTTTGCACCATATATTGACTTCGTATTGAGCATGGATTTTTTGGCTTTGGACTGCGCTTTGCAGTGAGTTCATCAATCATGGCCCGTGTCGATTTCAATAAGTGTTTTACTTTCTCTTCGTTCTCTTCCGACATTGCTGATGTCGTTCGGTATTCCGAGGTCTCCTCTCGCCCTTCCTGTTTCTTTCCAAACAGGCCGAACTCTCTGATGTCCTGATTTCATGCCCAGCTGATAATCAGACTTGCTGTGCTCTTTCGAATCATTTGAAGATTTTCTGCCTCACCGGATAGCTGCGTCCTTCTCCAGAACGCCCCTCGCAGGCAGCCGATGAACAGTCGGCGAACATTCGAGGTGTCCATTCAGCTGACTGGTTTCCATTCATTTCTTCGGTGTCTTAATTTGTCGTGACACTATTGAATTCGGCCTTGTCATAAATTCTCTGTCATTTGCGCGTTGTTTTTCCTACCACATACGCTTCGAAGTGATCACATCGTTCATCCATGCGGATGATCCAATCCGTGAATGCACTTATGCACTTCATTGCAGATGCCGATTCCGATGCCGAAGCCGCAGTCCCAGCACCGTCACCACCGAGTCGACGCGCTCTGGGACAGTAATGCCGACAAGTACCGCGTCGCGTGCCGATCCGTGCACGTGATGAGAGTGAGTCATTGCACGTGCGCATGCGTGGTTGGATTTCTGTCCGAAACTTAAATAGTTGTTGGGAAGCGTAGTTATAGATTGCGCTCCCATTTGATTCCTATTGGGATCTAGAACATTTGTGGGATACGGGGAAATAGAGGGTTTGCTTAGTAATGGTTTCATTACACTTGAATATTGAACATTTCCGGAGTGTAATTTGTGTGATCCCCCACACTAATTTACCTGGTCATAGACAACAAAGGGTCCATCGGGAGGGGGAGGGTGGGAGTTTACTAGTCCTGGAAATAATTCGATAGCACAGCTAAAAGTAAAGCTAAGCAACGGCGAAGACTGACCAGCGCCCGAATGAAACAGGTAGAAACTTCGTTGACACTGGTTTCATCGAAGACACTACACACATTCGCAACCGTACGAATCATTCGATGAGAATGAATTGCAGCTGTCAAGATCTAAGCTAATGCCGTGTCTTGACATAAAAGTCACACTCGTTACAGTTTAGTGATCAATGCTAACTAGATGCAAGTTCTGCTGTTCTGTCAATGTGGGAGTTTTCTTTTTTTGAGTCCACGAATACGTGCTTTTTCCCTTTTTTACGTTGAGACTCCTATTTCGAACATCGAACCAATTGAATAAGCAGATTTTCGTTTTTCCAGTTGTTTGGTAATCTTGTTGTCAAGTAGATTTAAACATGAAGGAAGAGTTTATAGATAAATTATATATACCCATAATGTGATGAATCAGTCTCGTCTATATGTTTGTAAGTTTTCAACTGTTCAAAGACTTTTGTAATTGAGAGAATTCTAGTAGTTATCGAAGAAGCGCAGTGACCGGAGCAGCCCTGCAATACACATGAGGTCGATCCCGCGCCCGTGGCTCAGCAAGCCTTCCATTCCTCCGGGGTCGGCAAATTGGTACCAGACTTGTCTGAGAGGATAGAGGCACTGGCCCGATACATCAATAGGCCACCGCTAGTCATTGTAAAGGTCATATATGCATTCAATCACCTTCAACGATACTTAATGAAGTCGGATGCATGGAGCATCTCTCAGGGATTGATCAACGCCGAGAGTTCTATCTTTTTATTTTATCGAAGCCAGCGCGGATGCAGATGTGGTGATATGATTGCAGGTTGCACAGATGTAAGATCTATGTAAGGGCCTTTATAAAGGTCTCTGCAAAGTAATTTCATGTGGAATTAAATGGAAGTGTTCATTCATTCTTTATTTATCCACTTGCTTAAAAATCTGCTTACTACTTCATGATTTCTACATCATATTTGGGGAACTATATGTATTCATAATCTTTCTAAGAAAAGACAAGAAATTCTGCTTGTTCCATTGTAAAAAAAAAACTGGCAGACATCCAGAAAAGGGTAATCGCGGATTGCAATCTGGTCAGAAGTCTGAATTTCGCAATTATTTCAACATCGTTGTGGTTGTGTTTCACATAGTACCCTGCCATGAAAAAATAACAGGCGGTAACTAAAAGGGTTATGCATATGTGCGCTCAGGTTTGGTGTTTTACGCTGAAGCTCCAGCAACAACACGAGCATCATTTGTTTGTGTCTCTTCTGTTGAACAATCATTCCAGGCCACTCAGTTCATCGGTTATGGTCAGCTACTGGTTATTGGATTGTTCACTGTCGCATTGCTCTTCTTCTATGGGAAACATCTCACTGTATGTTTTCAATATGAAAGTGATTTATGAATTGCTATAAATCAATATATTGCGAAGTTTTCAATTTTCTGCTCGTATGTACGACCACTTCAGTGCTTCCTTCAAGCGGGATGTACAGCAGGAGGATTCATCGTCCCGGCAGAGACTCCCAAACTGTGAAGGGCTCTGGCGTTTCCACCAAAAAATCCAACTAGGAGTAAAGCAGTACCAGAATTCACCACCGTCCTGGTATCAAACTAGTCGCATGGTGGCAGATCTCCTTTTGATCCACTGGGGAGGCGACTGCCTGTGGTGGCGATGATCTGGGGCATACTTTGGCCAGGTTGTCCTCAGTACTCCAGGGAACCGCAATGGCTAAACTAGCAAATCTCTGGAGAATGAAAATTATGCTGGGGCCCGCATAACCAGTAAAGACGGGCCGTCCAAGTATCCACGTAGTTTAGGTGTAAAGCTTCTTAATCATAGCTTGTTATTCTTTATTTATTTCTATAGATTTTCTTATGTTGCACTTTGTAGATTTGAGTTTTCCAGCTGTAATTTTGCAGGGAGGACTACCAGGTGATCATTGGCTTGCTTCAGCGAGTGGCCGCTACATCACTTCGCTCCTCACGGCAGTTTCCCTTCAGTTATCTTTGGTGAAGCATGTTTCCTTTACTATAGTAACCTTAATTTTTAAACCCGATAAGACTGTTGAATTAAGAACATGTTTTGCAATTTATTGAATTTATAAGAACATAATGTGATAGTTTGGAACTTAGTTATTTTATTTCTCCTGTTTCTTATTTTAATTTCCTTCTTGGCGCGTCAAATTCGGCTACGCTGTTGAAATTTCACATTATCCCATTTTTCATGGACAACAAAAACAACGTAGAGAAACATGCAGTCCGATACGTCACGTACTATGGGTACCTTCTTCTTCGTTTCCAAAAATGGTCATTCCTTCTCATCACGTTGTCGCTGCTAACATTCAACTGTGGGTTGTGAGAAGGGGCTATGAATGATTCCATCGCGTCTCATAATATTTGATGGGAAATGACGCGTCCTTGTGTCGATTTCCTTCTTTGCTGCCGCTCTGGCAAAGGAAGTTTTCAAAGGATGTGTAGGGACGAAAGGTTTTGTTTCTCTTTCACGACCGCACCTGATCCCAGAATTTCCCGGCACCTGGAGACATTTGGTTCCAGATAGGTTTTATATCCCCACGACTTCAACCGTCCGATTTTTGTCATTTCTAAGTTTAAAAGTTCTTTTCTCGCAAATCGTAGCTCTTACTTCGAGAACTTCGAATGAAATCGGGAATTGAGCCATTCAGATTACAGCCACTGCAGGCTGTGGGAAAAACGAGGTGTTTAATGTAGTTATTAAATGGCAAAAGAAATGTGAATATATTGTGTTATTCTTACCGATAGCCCATTAGATGGCTTTGCGGTTAACGCTATTGCACAGATGTGACCATAATTCTTCCTTTCAAGTAGCGTTTCAGGTCTTAATGATGCTTCATGGAGTTCGTTCCCAGAGGCGATCATTCCTTCTTCCCTTCATTATATTTGCTTCGTTTGCTGTCTTCCTTGCTTTCATCCAGGTATACTTTTTCAAAAAATTTTTTACCATTTTTTCGCGCGTTTATTTTTAATGGTTTAATATCAACACGGACTTAGCTGTTCTTTGAGTGTTGTTTGTGAGGTACTGCAGCAAAATAGTTACTCTTATTTTAAGGTGTCATCCGACTTGGTCGCAGCATCGCAGTCACGTGTTGGGGCCTCATCGGGACCTCAGTTGCTCAGTCATGTCATCGGAATGTGTGTCCATGTATGGTGTGTTGCTGTCGTCTGGCGCTGCTATTGCTACTTGGGAGATAAGAAGGTTGGTTTTGAACAAGGCACTCAGATAATGCGCCGAGTTGCCAGGACAGGCTTATGAACGAGGCCTTCAAGTTATGCACCGATTTCATCTTCTGTAGGTGTAGGAAAAGGAAAACCTTATCTTGTGCTAAAAATAACTACTCTCACGGTTTAAATTATTCCAGGTAGCCGAGCAGATTGGCGAGCAACTCCAGGCTACTTCATTGGCTTTTGCTTACGAATATACCCAGCCACCACCATATGCAGACAGTATCGAGAAAAGCCCGCTGACAGTCGCGTAATTCACTGTTTGTTTATGTTATTAGCTGATCAACATCATTTAGTCTACTTATCGCTTAAACTGTAACGGGACCAATACCATTGACTACTCTTTTAATAATCCCAATATTATTCTCTGATCGTTAGGAGTTCTTCTATGTCGTTGTAGATTGTATCGTTTTGTTACTACAACCTTCGGGTTTCCAATAATAATCACATGGTCTGTCTTCGTTTTCTCATCGAGAAGATAAAGTTCAGGACGTTGATTCGAGTGTATTGTTCCTTCTTAGCGTTAAGTGAAGTGCATTTTCATGTTCCTAAACGTTTTTGAACTCGAACGTGTTCTAGAAGGAACGGCAGAATAACAGAGGATGAGGAGTGTGTAAATTTAATGATATAAATGTAATAAACTCTTATAACACTACTACGTGGGTTGTGATGACAAAGGTAGTATAATAATCATCTGAGAGACGTTCAACTAACTAGTAAAGTCTAAGGAGATAGAATCAAATCTGTAAAATCGTATATCACAACAAGAAATGAACAGGAATGGCGTAATAGCTAGGAATTATGATTTATCTTCATATAACAGCTCTGGAGACAAAAACCGGAGGAAGTAAAGCTCAATCCCGTTAAAAATTCCCAGGGTAGGATACACAGTGAACATTTGAGAACGGAACAAGACCTGACGGTGTTTCCAATGAAGAAGCACCCAGAAATACGACAGCTGCCAAAACAGACAAGTCAAATCTGGGAAACAATGGTATATGTGACAAAAGAACACCACTAGAAATTATACCACTTTTTCTTTTCTAATTTTTCCACCAATTTTCCGGTTCTTTGCGAAAGGTTCATTGCACTATTACGCAGATTTTCTGCTGCATCAACTGTTGCGCCCAATTTCTCACCTCGTTCAGATATATTCTGGAAAAGAGCGACGATGCAGGGAAAAGTAACAAACAACACTGATACTGAAAACCAGTGACTCACCTGCAAAGCCGCAAACGCGGCTTGTCCAGCAGATATCCCACTAGCTTGGGTTCGTTCCATGTTCACTGATGGACCTGGAATGGTCCGTGCTACGGCGCGCGTCGCTCCTCCGCCCACTCCACCACTGATTTTCTCTCGATCTGCTACTTAAGTGAACAAGATTACGTGAGAAATCAGCAGTAAGCGTTTCTAATTAATTATTCATCTTGTAGATCCATTTTGCAAACATCTTCATACAAGATAAACATACAGTGATGAACTTTCTATGGCGTTCTATGTTGAAGTCTCCTTACAAGAAATTCAGGCTTATTTGGGATTTCAATAAATAATGTGTAATAAATATCTCGTTTATACTCTACAAAGATTACTGAAGGAAGCTACTCTGAGAAGTCAGAAAGAACTCCATAGTGTTACATTCTAATAATCCTAGTTTGTGTTGTCGTGCCAAGTGCTTAAAACTTCTGAGAAAATAAAACTAACGTATTGAGTCAATATCGCATGAATCCTGACGCTGTATACCACTGAACATACTCGAGACACCCTGAAATCCATAAGAAATGGCCACTCTGCATTATAGCCCAATGGTAAAAGTGCACAAGGGAGAATCACTATTGCAATGGCGACAAGGGAAATCAATGACAATCACAGTGAATACTATATAAGATTGCTACGAACAATGTTGATGTAACAAAGTTACAAAATGGTCACACGGAAAATAATGTGTTGTCAAGTTTCCTACTTGACACCGCGACTAAGAATATAGACAGAGGACCGATAGACAATGAAGAGAAAACCAGCTATGGCACTTTTCATTCAACAATCTCAGGAATTCAACATAAAGATGACTAATGAACATCGAGGAATGTGGACAGCAACATAGATGCAAATTTCACTAAAAACATGACAAAAGGTCGTCAGGCTTTGAATGGAATGATAGCCGGGTGAATTTATCAAATCAAGCATAAATCACCTTCAAGAATGAGCTGTTGCGTGGAGGGTCAGGAAGATCACACGCGACAAAAAGCTCACCAAGGGCATCTGAAGCCTGATCTGCGATTTCTGAGCATATAGTGTACTTCTCCACCTGAGAAGATTTAAGGATAATTTGATGTAATAGAGAGTTAAAAATCGTTTGCCTCACTTCTGATGGACTCGCCATGTAGACGCCGAGTCCATGTTCCGAAAATGATATCCTTTGGCAAATTCTGAAAGAGACTAATTAAATAAGAAAGAAGGCATTAGTGGGAACGCTCCATACCCAGCACAATCTCGAAACACTCCGAGCAGCCAATTCATCCAGTTAAAAAGCTTAGAATGAGGAGGTAAGATGCAACAGAATCGGTAACGAATAAACTGGTAAGATAACAGTGATAACATAAAACTTACGGGTCATCGATTTCCACTGAGTATGGCAGGAGTGGGGCTTGATATAGAAGTCGAAGAGAAGGCAAAGAAAGAACAACAACCTTAAATACAATTTTAAATTCTGAAGACATAAGACAAAGTTAAGTAAAAACACCTTTCCGTCAGCTGCCAAACACATCAGCACCGGATATCCTCGCACATGGGTAGCATGAGCCTAGGCACGAAGTACTTGTGTGTCCATTAAAGGAATTAACTGCTTAGGTTTGCGTTAAAAGTCACCTTAACCAATGGAATCTCTTCACATTTGTGTATAAACAGCTGGATGAATGAAGGAAGAGCGATGACTTTAATTTCGAACTCTCCGACAATAACAAGGGACTGAAAGCAATTAGAGTTAGGTAAGCACTGCAAATGCCGTCAACGATCGAAACATGCACGATGAAATAAAGACAGTCGGAATGGGAACCACCTGTGGAACATCCTCACTTGAATCCGCTGAAATGGAGTAAGTAGGAGAGAGGCTTGGTTTAGTGATCACCTATAACGCAGATTGAGATTATTCATTTCTGTTAATGTAACGAACAGCTAAACAAACAATTTCGAAGGAAATAAAACCGATAAAACTTAAAAACAAAATGTAGTAATATGAAATAGGTTTCGTTTCACTTGAACTATAGTTCCAGTCATTAAAATGTAACAAATATACGAACCCGATTATGAATAGTTTTTTCGGGACTTCCACAGTCTCTGTTGTTCTCTCTATATGATTCACTGGCTGCCGAAGCAAGAGAAAATGACTGGTCCATAAAACACTGAAAGAGTATTTGCCCTTTCAGCTTCACCACCGTGCCTGCAACAATAAATGAAATTAAATGAATAGCTATTTTCTATTCTATTCTATTCTATTTCTATAGCTATTAGCTTAATATTTTATTTTCCAAAGAAATAGTGATGCATGGGCCATTTATTAAAGCAGTAATGTCACAAATTCCTCCTAACGGTTCAATGCCTCATCGTGGTTTGGAGGCGATACTGAGTGTCGGGCTGCAGCGTACAGTAGGGGGAATCATTCCCCTACCAGGACCTCCGAAGTAGAGGAGTCCCGCGTCCCTATCAGAAAGCCTTAGCGAAGAGTAAACCAGTACCAAGACCCATCACCGACCTGGTGCTGAACTAGTCGCATGGTGGCAAATCTCCCTCTGATCCACAAACGGGGTGACTGCCTGTAGAGGTGACGACCTGGGACAGACTCTGGGCAAGCTGACCACGAGACTCTGGGGACCTACAGCGGCTAAGCCAGTAAAACTCCGAGGGAGTGGAGATTATGCTGGGGTCCGCACAACCAGTGAGGACGGGCTATGCAAGCTCTAGGTAATGTTATGTATGGCGAATTATTATAACGAGTAAGAGCGAATAATACACCACATTTTCCTTGCATGCTAGTTGATATAACCTCAAAAAGTGATGAGATGCCACGCCACTCACTCTTACAACTTTTCGTGTTTTACTTTAAAAAGAGAATATTGTTTCAACGGTGCTTCAACAACCTACGATGTTAACAAAGCTACAGTATGCGGGCTATATACCACGCTTCAACAACGGCGCAATGTGAGAACATATATGGAAACAAGTTCAAGTTGAGAAAGAAACACCAAAAATCAGAAATGTAATAGAAAACGAAGGGGTAAACATGGAGCTGTATGAAAAAATGAAAGTGGAACAAAAGCAGCTATGTTATCAACGGCAGCGTACACATTTTCCCAGTGGCAATATGTTAAAGTCATAAAAAACAGTAGACGTCTAGCAACTAATGCTTGACAGGTGAAATAAGAGAGCAAGAGCAACGAATTGAAGAGCTCTACATTAAGACTTATGATACAAAAAACGAAAGATTGCACACGGAGTGATAAACAATTTCGTAAAGTCGTTCAATACATCTATTTTTTAACTAGAGACCAAGTTTTAAATAGCAATATCCATCGGCGCTGTTTTGATAAAACGGTTACGAAGAAGTATTTCATAAAACAAAAAAAGAAAAGAAAAAAAACCTGAAGGAGCTACAATGACTGAAGAAATAAGACGGTCCTGAGGAAGAATAAGATTTAATGCAATCGAGGCACCGGCGTTGGTTCCGATCCACAGACACGGAGATGCTCGTGAATCTACGAATGCAAGCATTACAAAAGAAACAATTCTTTTTTTTACAAAAAAAGATTGACTAACCATTTTTACGTGAAAAGGAGTGTATGAATGCAACAAAAGTTACTGTCTCAGGACAAACGAGGCTGAGTTTCTCAAGGCTGTGGTTTGACATCGACGGCGATGGTATAGTGCCAATTCGATTTCTATTCAAAACAGGCATATCACGAGGAGATTCACCTAAAATCGCTTGTATTTAATCCACACGAATATCATCTGGCTGTCTGAATTATCAAACGAAACAGTTTAAATAGTGGTATGGGAAAAATCAATAAATATTACACTCAATCATTCAAAATCCCATTCACCACACAGAATCTGACTGTGCTGGCAACCTTCGAAAAAAAATAACGACCTAAACCTTAAAACCTTAACCTTAAAAAACCTGAATAAAAAACCTAATAAAACCTTCGCCATACAGATGAGATATACTTAACCGACAAGCAGCAAGCATATCGGACTGATTAATCGAATATAGTAATCTAGCTCGCATGCACTTCGAAAGAAAGTAACAAAAGTTGCAGCAAGATGAAATCGATGAAGATGCAGAAAACCCACAATTAAGCTTCGTAAAGGCAAGAGAAAACCTGCTCGGAGTTGCCCATGTGGTCGGTCTTGAGATCCTTTCCAAAATACTACACACAAGAGCAACGCCATATACTCAGCACAACAAGAGTACACCGAAGATAACAATCACAAATCGAGGAATGTACAGCCCACGAACACAGAGAGCTTATCAAAAGTAAAGATGATACCTCGCGGACTTCCACCGTTGCACTGCTCGTTCTGAGTGCCGATGAGAGACTGAGCCTTGAGTAAGGGAGGACGGTCGAAGGTTTTCTGACGAATATCCGTATTCAGTCGCACCAAATGGCTCCTCTCCACTAATGGTGACTGCAAGTTACAAGACAATGCACCGCCATCGCAGCTTCATATTGCCACCAGTCATCTATCTGACTTCTTCAAAGTGTAACTTTATGTGGTTTTATAATGTTCATATAGTTTTCTAAGAATTCGTTTTTAAACAACGACGTCAATTACTCCCACAGAAACGTCCGATAATAAAATCTGCTGTAACTAAAGTAATATGCCATCGAACCCAGAAGAGACGGTACACAAGAAGAGAACAAAACAAAAAGAAGAAGCGGTGCATACCACAAGAAAAAAACGAAAGATACAGACGTACCAAAGTGCGCGATACGATCCGGCTTTAGTTTTTGGAAAATAAACAACTCATTCCTTTGTAACCCGAAATATGGGGAGCTTATAGAGGCATAAATAAACAAAAATCGTTGGCAAAACGAACAACACAACATAGACTGACCTCCATTTACATGTGAATGGAAAGAGAAACTTCGTGCGACAGCACTGCCCTTCCTAGTAATGCGACGCATTATTCCGACTGACGTATTCGAGGTTCGTTCGAAATTGCACCGCTCCGGTCGTGATGAAGTGCACGGAGTATCTCCATCCAAAATAAGGTCCTGTCGATCCGAATGCTCTCGTCGCTGTTCACGATAGCGCTCGCGAGAACACATTGCGAACTCAGTCGTGTTTCTTCGCAACACCATACTTGCACGCGAATGTTTCGGTGACAACACGGATTTGTCTGGCACAGAAGTCCCACCATTCGGAGCTGTCACTGCATTGTCATCACTGTCATTGAACTGCAAACGTCACACACACACAAATCACAACACTGATATGTCTAATGTCATTTAGGGAGCCACCATTTCAAAACTAAAAGTCTTTGGTGATAAACATGCATCGAGTACTTTTGTTGCTGCCTAAAGCAGAACCACAGTGGCCACAATGGCAATAAAAAACATCCACTCTAATTTTTTTCAGCAATCCGAGGTTTTTATAGAGTATACGTTTACTTCCACACAAAAACACATACAATACAACGTTTTCTATTTAATACAAAATAGCTGACGTTTCCGCAGCATTGCCTTCTTCAGAGTCGTTTTTTTTTACGTGTCATCCACTTAGAAAAGAAGGGACAGCTCTCCTTTCGCTGAAACAGAAATACTTCAGCCGTCCTTCCCTCTCTTCCTCAGTGAAAAACACGTGAAAAAACGAGTCTGAAGAGGGCGATACTGCTAAAATGTCAGATACTGTTGTATTGTATGGGTTTTTGTACGGAAGTAAACTTATCCACTTGAGTTTTGTCATATTTATAAATGGGGATGAGCTACTTCGCATAAATAACAAACTAGGGATTCAGTGGGACGTTCGTAAGAAATTACTGCCTAGGATATACGACGAAATGAAAATTATTATTGGAACAGGCAACCCTATCCTATGATAATGAGATGTTTTGAACTGTATTATAGCGTAGTGCACTATATACAGCGTACATGTGAAAAGGTCTATTCGATTTTAAACAATGTAATGAAATCACTGGACGTCTGCAAAGGTTTTAGTTCCTTTTCCAAAGCTTAGGAATCCCAATTCAAACTGAACTAAGCTTTAAAAATATGCATCCATAAGAACTGCTGGCTAATTACCTACCTACTACCTGAGGAAGTTACGAAAGTTTTTGACACTACCGGAGAATGCCTGTGGTGAAGAACTGGAATCGCTCTGGTAAAGCTGTCTTAGGATTCAAAGGAAAACCAAGACGTATAAACGACGGCATACTCTGAATTTTACTTTCGAGCCTATGAAAAATTACACAAGAATTACTTTACTATTATATAAGCACAATGAGAGCCAGTCAGTATTATTTACTGCCATCTAGAGAGTTAATTTTACTTTCTTAGGCATACGTTTCTGTTTTTGTATCAGAATGGTTGAAACTATTTGAAAATGCTAAATGGAGTACACCCTCCCAATGGCTTACCGCCTCATCGTGGCTGAGAGGTGTTCCTCGGTGTCGGACTGCAATGTACTGCGGGGTATTCGTCTCCACGGCAGGGTCTCCCAAACTGAGGAGTCCGGCGTTTTTATCAGGAAGCCTAGGTAAGAGTAAACCAATAACACGATCCACCACCGTCCTGGTATCAAAGTCACATAGTGGTAAATCTCCCTCTGATCCACAAGGGCTGCGACTGCCTGTCGTGGTCACGACCTACAGCAGACATTGGCCAGGCTGTCCTCGGGATTCTAGGGAACCACAATGGCTTAACCAGCAAATCTCCGGAAAATGGTGATTATGCTGGGGCCCGAACAACTAGTGAGATCGGGCTGTTCAAGTATCAGGCAAGTAGGTAAATGGAACACACCTATGCACAGTGATTGGGAAACTACAGAGGAGCAACGCGTAAGTAAAACACCAGATGCACAGCTCTTCAAGCGAAATGGAAAGAATAAAAAAGGATAAAGCTCTCAGCGTTGATCGTTCCCTTAAGGATGCGCCATGCATTCGACCTTCGACTCGACAAAATTTCCATTTCTCAGAGTTTTGCTAGTTCACAAATTGTAGTACACTGGAGTTGCGAAGTTAGCCCAGCTAAAGACTGTTCCAGGTCGCCACCACCACAGGCAGTCGCCGCCCTTGCGGATCAGAGGGAGATTTGTCACCATGCGATAAATTGATACCAGGACGGTGGAGGACCCTGATAGCGGTTTACTCTTAACTGGACTTCCCCATGGAAACGCCGTACTACTGCTCAGCTTGCGAGGCTCTGCTAGAGGAATGAATGAACCCGCTGTACAGCGCTGCCCGACACCCCACACTTCCCAACCACGATGAGGCGGTAAACCGTTGGAAGAACTAGCCGTAATATTAAAATAATACACACAAACAGAAATCCATGTGCTTGTCATAATACTGAGAAAACTATCGTACTAAAAACAGCACGGATGTCTCGCCGTGCACGTTTTTCATTTTGCTTGGTAACTATTAATTAAGTAGTAAATGTAAGTTAGGTTTCTAGTGGGTTTCACAAAAACATCATGTATTTTTATCAAGAGTAATCGTAACGAACCAAAAGTATATGAATAATGAAGTACTGAAAATGGTTTTTCTTGATTACATACGTTTCATGGGCTGCAAACAAATCATGCGGAAGTAGGATCATATTTTCGCCATAAATGTATTTCATTCGTAAACTAAGTAACACTGAACCGCGAAAACAATATGTATCCGTGAGTTTCCAGTTAAATAGAAGTCTTTAAACTTTTCATAGGTGTTGATTTTAGCCACAGGTAACAACATATTGCGCATAAAAACACGTGTTGGTTGAAATTTAATCTCTATGAACCTATAGACGCAATATAATTGCGGTGCGAATGCTGAATAAAAAACAAGGATCAGAAAGTGAAAAATTGCCCTTTTACTTCTCATAAACTAATTACGATTCCGATTTCAACCTATTTGAAAGGATAAAGAGTAAAGCTCGCGGCGCTGATTAATCCCTGAGGGACGCGCCATGCATTCGACTTCATTAGGAGCCGTTGGAGGTGAATGAATGCATGTTTAGCCTTTACAATGACTCGCGGTGGCCTACTAATGTATCGCACCAGTGCTACTATTCTCCCAGACGAATATGGTACAAATTTGCCGACCCTGGAGAGATGGAGGGCTTGGTAGGCCTGGGCTCGGATTCAATCCAATGTATATTGCAGGGGCCTCTGAACACTCCGCTACACTCGGCCTATTAAACCTATCTAGGAACCAAAAACATGCTAGAAATCACTAAATCCTCTGCAGACATCTGATACAAGTTTGTAAAAAATATGCTCAAAATGGGAAATATCTGAACAACTTTGACGCAAGTATGCAAAATCGCTTCAACAACAAAGATGCTGTATGTGTCATACCTTTCTCTCTATTCCCAATTTTAGAAGACATGCATAAGGTGAATTAAATTGTAGAAATGGAAATCTGCCCAAAAAATGGCGAACCCGAAAACAAAAGCAACCGCTCAAGATCCACAAATAAAAAAAAATAAGCATTTAAATGAATTCAAAGAACTGACTTACCTCGATGGGGCTTTCCGAAAGAACATCCACAAGATTTAACTGAACAGCTGGAGTAGGATCAGATCCAAACAGCTCTGAGGTACTCCATGCATATATTAAAGCACATTGAAAAATATCGACCAGTGCTAATCCATTTGTCATACCTAAACAATTCTTATACATTTATATATTTTTCGAAAGCAATCCATTTTTCAATGAAATTGTTTAAAATACCCAGAGCAATGACACCGAAAGCAGAATTAAGGGCAGCAGAAGCAACCGAATCGGCCTGTGAAATAGACGGCCATGGAATCAAACAAGCAAGTTCTGGCTAAATGTCAGGATTCAATAACTGACTAAACCGGAGTGCATGAAGTTATGATTATTTGGAAAACATGGAAGAAGGAAAAACATATATGAAGAGCAAAAACATAAATGTAACTCTTCTTGCCGAAATTATACACCAAACAAAACACATCATGAAAAGTACCTGATAACCAGCAAACCGTCTCACAGCGGCACCGCGAACTTTGAACGGTACAATGCTTTCATCATCCGAGTCAACGCTCGTATCAGGACTGTGGGTAGAATCTTGGCTAACCACCTAAAACTGCCCATAAATTCAAGTCACTTGGGCCATAGAAAGTAAAACCAAAAGAGGTTAAAAATACACGCGAAGGGGAGAAGTTAAGGAACAATCTCAGCAAAGTCTAAGGAACAGAGGAATAGGAAGGATAAAGAAAGAATAAAAAAAGATATAGCGATAACTGTTGAGAATGTAATGAGCGAATCCGAGATAACAATGTTGAACAATTTGAATGAATCTCGCATACTAATAAAAAAACGATTTTAAAAAATGATGTAAAAACTCGACGATAGTCGTCGAGGTCCCAGGACTTAAACACGCAAAAAAAGAAAAACGAAAGAAAATACCTTATGTTGCCTGCGAATCTCCTTTCCAGGTTGAGGAGCCTCGACTCGCTCATCACTTGCACTTGTCAAAGAGTTGAGTTGTGGTATATGTACAACCTAAGTTACGCAATGAAAGCATATGAAAGCTATAGGCATGTGAACGCCATACTTCCTCACCAAATACTTTTTGAAGCACCTTACCTTTAACACAGCGGAATAACACCCTTAGTAAAGTTTTGGTGGCGCTGTAAAACAAAACTAAGCTAGTCAGACTCACAGCAATCGTATTCATACTCTCAGTTTTCGAAAATCGGAAAAGAGTAACTTGTCCAGACACTCCGGATACAAGCAAAAGCCGAGACTGAATGAGAGTCATGAAAAATTTGAAACGAAACTTAAACATCAATATTACAAGAGATCTACGAAATGGCTTACTTCAACACATAATTCAATCAACTTTACAGCATGTGACACCTTCTCGCACCCTTCTAATTCCTCTAAACGTTCAAAGTGTGATGCTGTCTTCAGTTTATAGAGAATTTGAAGATTTTCTCCTGAAGCCTGCCAAAACTTCAATGAGCCGTCCTTGTGCCTAAAAAGTGATTCAATGAAGATCATGGTCGGAGATGATAGTTCGAGAAATCGGCGCTATTCTACTGGGCTATACAATAGGAAATGTGTCTTGTTTTCGCTTATAAGTCTCATTTACCATCCGTTTCCTAATCATATTTTTCATCCCGATCAAGTTTTTGTTGAGTTCAGATCAATTCAGTAGAAATGAAGAACAGAACTTCGAGCTATCCTCCTTAGAATTCAAAGTTCGGAAGTGAAGCTCTGGAAGAATTTTGCAATATCAAAGTTAAATCTCACAATGGAATCGCTTCTTAAGAAGTCAGGCAAGTTGCTACTATCGACAGTGACCATTTGAAGACGTTAACTTAAGGGAATCCGAGGGTAAAAAGCAACTCAAAAAACTAACTTTCCATCGGAAATTTATGGTAACTTTCTAATGTTTGATGGATAGCGTCAATAACTATAGCCTCCCAAAACTTGACCAAACCAGCATAGTAAAAAAGCAATTTCAGAAAACTGCGAACACCCAAGAGCTGTAACTCTGTTTGTCTTTGACATATATCCACCAACTGAAGGAGTTCAATTCTGCTGTAAAAGAACCAATAGTGTTATTTTCACCAGTAGTGGTAGTACTGGTAGACACTAAACGAATTTAAGCAGAAAAAAAACAAAAATTGCTTCCTCTGCATTACTAGTCAGAGGATTACAACCATTTCATAAAAAAATTACTTCGTGAGAAAACTTTCGCCCACTCAAAATACGACCGACAGGCTCTTCTCGACGTTACTGTATTCACAGATCAAAACTTTTCTAGAGACAGAACATCCATAAAAGGATAAAGGATAAAGCTCTCGGCGCTGATCAATCCCTCTGGGATGCACCATGTCTTCGACTTCCTTAAGTATCGTTGGAGGTGATTGAATGCATATCTGGCCTTTACAATGACTCGTTGTGGCCTATCGTTGTATCCAACCAGTGCTGCTATCCTCCCAGACAAGTCTGGTACTAATTTGCCAACCCTGGAGAGATGGAAGGGATGGTGAGCCACGGGCGCGATAGGTACCATTTGTGCACCGCAGGACGCCTCTGACCACTGCGCCACATGCACCTTTGTACACACTGTCATATTTGCAAATGCGTTTCAATTGTTGACGATTTGGCTGATAAATTTGAATTTTGAAAAAATTACGGCATTTCGAACTTGTAGGTAAGACTCAGAGATTGCTAGGTGAAAGTATAAAAAAAAATGGATGCGACATTCCAACGAACCCGGTAAGAATGAGTTCCTGATGTCCTGTTGCGCATTCCCTTCCGATACCACCACTTACTGGCCACGGCTGCAAGTAACGAGAATTAACGTTCATAGTATTCGCTTTTGCCGTACATAGAGTAACATACAAAAGTAAAGCAAATTAATGACAATTATATTACCCTCTCACTAAACCCTTTCCTTCTCTGCTTGCAGCCTACTAGAGTTAAAGCGCCGATAAGATCACTAGGACAATCGGAATAGTAAGCGACGCAAGTGACAGGATGTTCGTGCAAATCCATAGCGTGAGGTGACTCAATGCAAGGATAGCTAAAAAGGAAGCAATTGAAAAACGCAATTTTCTTCCGTAGAGAAGCCAGAACAAATTAAAGATAGCAAAGGTGGCAACTTGTTATCAACAAGCAACCGATTTTCAACAACAGCTACGTTTTGTCATTCAATCCCTGGTAATTCGCACAAAATGAACTACAAAATTGTACCTGACGTTTCGGCAGAATCACCTTCAATCCCACAATGAATAGCAGGGTGGAATGCCCCGAGATCACGCGTGCTCTCGCCCCTTACCTTCGTATCGATCGTTGATGGGGTGGTGCAGTCGTCAACCATATGCGACTCTGAGCGGCTGTTCTTCCTCGGTGGAAGACAGATGAAAAAAGCGGTGGGTTTTTTCGATAAGCCGTAGATCTTGTGATTATCGTGCAGATTTCCATCTTTCTGTTTGCGCTGTTGAAGCGTTTGACCTGGTGAGTTACGTATCAGTGTACCCTTCCACGCTCTGAAGGCGATACTACCGAAACGTCAGCTACGACTGTGTTGTATTGTGTGTTTATCTATGGAAATAAATGTATGCTGTATAACAACCTTGCGATTGCTGACACAGAAAACAACGAATTCATAATGCAATGCCGAGGTTAATAGAAAGTCGATTCTACGTACTATAGTGCAAAATGTAACAAATAATGGAAAAAAACCATATGAGGAATTAAGCGGAAAGTGTCCTCTAAACACGTTGAGAGTGTCGGAGCAACGTCGTAGAAGTGACTAAATGCGTATCCGCCCTAGATAATATACTCCAGTCGCCTAAAATGTTAAGCCAGTGTTTTATCCTTCCGCAGAAGTTTGGTACGAATCTCCCAACCCTGGAGAAACGGAACGCTTAGTAATCACGATGCACAAGATCGTGCCGGGAGATGATTCACAACGTACAGCACCTCTAACCACAGCGTTAAGGTAGCCCAGCGAAGGGTTATGTTTGAGTATTGTACCACATGTACATTTGGGAGTTAACTTTTGTAACGACAATAAGAAATATACGATATGAAGGAAGCAAAATCATGGAACAAATTTTTACATTAAAAAGGAATCGTGGTCGGTACGAAATTTGTTACGCTTCAATACATACACTTTAATACCAGTGCCCTAAGAGAAAACTAAAAATTTCTCTTTATATTCTCCAAGAGTCTGCATATTAGAACGCTAAACAAAGAAGAAATAGAGCTAACCCAGGCATCTGTAAATCAATCATCATGAGTTCTCCTTTCAAAAGGAGAGCAAGTGCTTGAGGCTGCTGTGGACAAGAATTGAAGGGCACCTCAAATAAAAGTAAAACATGCATGGACTTTGCATAACTCTTTCCATAGATGACTACGTTAACGAAAATGTTACCTGAGGCAATGTAACAAATGATAATATAGGATGATCCATTTCAAGGACAGTAGCAGATTTTGAGGCACGAAGAAATGTGAGTGCTGGGACAGGTAACCCATCATCAGTGGGCATGCCTGAATATTGAAAGAATGCGGAAAACCTTTGGAAAGTAAGATTACGTTTAGAGACCAAATCTTACCACCAGAAAAAATAATTAGTTGATCACCATTCGTCGTATGCTTCCAATCGATGATTGGAATAGGACGACACCCTTGGCCATGTGGAGTTGTTTTCTGTTGTGGTTCACCTTAAATACTTCACAGAACGTTCATCACATGTACCGATGTAAAAAGCATGAGGCAATTAGACCCACTAGTTTTTTTCATATTATATATACAAATGGAACCATCAACATTCCCAGTAATGATCTGCTTTCCTTCATAGTGCCAACTAGAAATGATGTTATTACCGATCTTCTTTCGCAAATAAGCAAATTACTTCTGAACTAAGGATTCTGATGGAGAAGTACTGAAGTGAATGAACTTACCTGAAACATTTTATGGGAGGGTCAAGAGGAAAACGATCAACTTCTTTGGTGACGAGGTTCCATTGAACAAGTGCACCTTTAGAGAATGCAATCAAGAGCTTTGTTGGTTCTACCGGAGAAGCGGCTATCTGTCGCACGGAGCCTGGATGCACTCGACAGCTCCTAAACGATTCCAGAAGCATCACTGAAACAACTTCCACGATCTCAATACTAACCCTACGGAAAAATCGAAATGAATACTTACAAATCAATAGCCTTATTCCAGTTTATAATGTAAGGACTTAGTTGGAATGTACCAACTGACACAAAGTATACATTGCCCTGAAACAATACTTTGAATAAAGGGCGGAACCGAAATGAAATTGAATCCCTGATGGGTAGAAATGTATTGTTGTTGAGCACCCAAAAAAAGAAGTATGGTAAATATAGACAGGAGACACCTTGTCCGTCCCAACATATAACCATTTGCTTCCCATGGGAAGATGAATACACGTGACGACTTCTTTGTTCAGCTGTAAACTGTGGACGACCTGAATAAAGAATATTCAAAGCACTCGCAAAGACACATAAATAGCACATTACGGTCTCAGTTTTGGGAAAAGCTTAGATAAAAAAGCTCATAGAGCTCTCGGCGCTAACCAATCACTTGGGGATGCGCCAAGCATTCAAGTTCATTAGGCATCGTTGGAGGTGATTAAATGCATATCTGGTCTTTACAATGACTCGCGGTGGCCTACAGATGTATCGAGCCAGTGCCGCTATCCTCCTAGACAAGTCTGGTACCAACTTGCCGACAGCGAAGGGATGGGAGCTTTGGAGGACGGGGCACAGAGATCAATCTCATGTGTGTTGCAAGACGCCTCCGACCATTGCTTGACACGCGCCACGGAAAAATTCTTTTTAGGAAAGGCGTAAATACGGTAAGAAAAACCATTACGCGCTCAATATTCACCTATTAGACCATCCTAGAACATCTATTTGCACAAAAATTGCGAATGAACCTTAACGTGCCTTTTATCTCACACTATGTAATTACAACACCGAAACGCTTGTTCCGCTTTTTTTTCACATGCACTTACGACACGATGATTCTTAGCCAATTTCAGGCTACCGCATGGAAGATGGATAAACGCGATCTCCACAGGTAGGGTAGCCGTTAGTACCGCAATGCACAAGGAATTAAGGCGCTAGTTCAACTCTCTTCCAAACGCCCTCCTTCAATCCACGCAACAATGCTCTTGCTTGGCTGTCTCCAAAGAATGCAAGGAGAATCGTTTTGACTAGCATTCTATGACGTTCACAAGAAAATCCTCAAGCAGCAGCCGAGACAACAAACAAAATGTTTGAAGGCCTTTGTCAACGACCAATGATAGGTAAACGAACCGAATGCAGGAAGCGTTGGGATCCACACAGTAGATGTGATGACAGGTCATGTAAAGTGTATATATTCATACATATGCAGGCATGTATATATGCATCTATATGTATATATATATGTATATATTCAAATATGTGTATATATACGTAGATAATCATGTATATATATATTCATGTATATATATATATATATATACATATACATGTAAATATATAGTGGAATTCACCTCTGGTGTTTTTTGGCGGTAATTCCACAAGTGTATCATATCGTTTCCGCAGGTTGTGATCAAACCACCCTGGAATTTTATTACTAAATAATATAAACAACATGGACGGTGAAAGCCTCACCTCGTTGATAACAAATTGTAGGTGGTTGACTGGATGATCTGCTTCATGTTTTAATAGGTAATCTACTCCCGCGTCACCTTAAGAATATGACTAGGCCGTATTCTAAAATTTAAAAAAAAATATCGAAAAAATATTCCGCTTCCAAGTAATCAACATGTATTGATTCGAATATGGCAGTCTACATCAAAAGCATCCACGTGATAACGGTTGTTAAATCTTTTTATTCCCGATAAAAAGCCAGAGAGATGACCGCAATCGAAACCTCTCTTTAATTCTCTAGAATGCACTTTATAGATATAAGAGATAAAAAAAACTTTCGGCGTTGATCAATACCTGAAGGATGTATCACGAATTCAACTTCATTAAGTAATGTTGGAGGTGACTGAATCCATATCTGGCCTTTACAATGACTCGCGGTGGCCTGCCGATGTATCGAGCCAGTACTGCTTTCCCCCCAGACAAGTCTGGCACCAATTTGTCTACCCCAGAGGGATGGAGGGCTTGGTGAGCCACGGGTGCTGGGATCGATCCCTTGTGTGTATTGCAGGGCGCCTCCAAGCACTGCGGCAGACGCCAGATGACAGAAAGACCGTTTGAATGTATAAGTAACTGAGAAGAAGCTTAACGATGCGTTTCTCTAAATATCACAAATGAGACAGATAACCGTGAAACGAGGCTCACAGCTCACCTATAATCCTAACTTCACCGTGTCCTGTACCTATGGCCAAAAGGCGTTGCACTGCATCGTATGCTATGCACCGCGCCTCATCTGGGAACCCGTGACGAGCAATCTGAAGGACCAATTTGCTATAAGTACTGAATTCCTCCAAACTGCAGTGGTACACTCATATCATTTGGTGCACACTACAGCATGTTTTCACTACTGTACACCAGTATTGATTGTTCATTTATTATCGGACCACCATTCATGAAGAAGGTGTAAGAATTGCTCAGAACAACAGAATGCTGCAACTTTACAAGCGAAATTTATCAGAATAACATGTAGGGATTCAATTCCCATTGGACATAAAACCCCTATAAAATGTAAAAACAACTGTGATTTAACATATTTACGACGATGTTGGAGGCTTAATAACAAGCGTTTTGAGAGACGCATTCGAGGACGCCATTACCTCCCTAAGGACAAAACCTCCTTTGATGACACTAAAAAAGGAAAAAGCCCGAACTTTCCAGAAAATTAGCATTTCATCATTTTAGAACACAAGAATTTACACTGTGGTCAAACTGTTTGAGTTCTAATCCTTTCTTGCGCAGTTAATGAAGTCCAGCATCAGCTGAGAAAGGCTTGTTCAAAACTGAAATTTGTAGTTATTTTATAACATCTCATTACTCCATTATCTGGTACCGAGACAATGGTTTCGTGGACACCAGGGACACCAGATGGAAGTGATATAACATAAGGCATCTCTTATGATTTACGACTTTACCATGGAAAAACAGTGTTATTCAGCGTTGACTCTTAAAAACCTAAACCTTCGAAACCACATCGACGACGAAGTAGTGGAGTGACGGGGTGAGTTATGACCGCAATCAAAACAATATGATAGATGAGTCAAAGACCTAGAAGAAATAGGAGTCAAGAAGGAAGAAAGTCAGAGAAAAGGTGAAGAAGAAGTAGAAACCAAAGGTATAAGTCAGCAGTAAGACAACAGACGCAAAACGATAAGTGAACACGAACACCTTAGCAAGCCTGCAGTGGTCCGGTTGAATGTTCTCTTCTACTACGATCTCCATTCGACTAGTAAGTGAACGAAGTCCATCGATAGCAGAGGCAAACCTTAAAAACTTAGGAGAGCTGTTGTAACAATCCCTTTCTTTACTGAAAACCACATACTTCTTCTTCGCTCTGTCCATGGTTTCAGTACGGCAAACGGTGGGCAACGTTTCTTCAAATGGCCCGGTATTGTTCGAAGCTCTTGTAATTCATGCTTAAAAGAAAGAGTACAATGATAATAAAACTAGACAGTAGCAAAAAAACTGAGGAATACGAAGAAAACTGCTATGGTAGAGTTGTTAGACGACAGTTCTAGGACAGAAGATGTGAAAACAGAATGAATTCGTAATCAATGGCCTTCTACAACGATTGTGAGGCTGGCCGGGTTTGAAGCTAAAGTCTGGGAAGGATGAAGGTGTTGGACAGAATGTGCTCAGCACTCATTCATGGGCAGTACTATTCAGTAGTGGAATTTTCAAAACTTTTAATGTAGACGCGGATGGGCTGAATATTTAAATTCTTATGTGAAACAGGCTGGAAGAATCAATGGATAGAAAAACATAAAAGAGAAAGATAAAACACATTAGATATCCATCATAATTCGTGCCAAATCCGCTAAGTGAGGATTTTATGAGCAGTACCGCACCGAGCAGTACTGAAGTCAACACACTGTTTTCCATAATCATAGAAGTGTGAGTGAAGATAATTCGTTCCACTGAATAAATGTACAAAAGACACGGACAGAAATGCCTTGAAATGCTAAGTTTTAAGCAATACACATTGGAAATCCAGAGTTTAGGAAATGGACGATAGGAAATTAGGTTACAGGAGTTCATGGGGGCGGTGTGCAATTGCTTGAAAACATCTCCAGCCCTAACGAAGAACAAATGTAAGAACTTGACGTTCAGCTTAAATGTAAGTTTCATAAATTGAATAACACTAGAACACTCTTAGTGATGGTCGATAACAGTTCGGAGATGAGAAGCGACCAAGAAGAAAATGAAGCAGTAGCTCATCAGCATCTTTTTCGGAATAGAATAGCAAAGATGATTGATACCTATAATTTACTTAGGCTACACTCTATGACGTGCCACGACGTCGCTGAATGTGATAGCTCTCCGTTGCTGAGTGTCCAGAACTGAAATCGCTCCTCCAAACAGCATCATGCGTGCGGGCATCCGAGGAACATCTCAGGAACACCGGCATCAGATATAACACTATGTAAGTATATTCAGCATGGTATATGGGGGTCAACCACCAGCAGCTCTCGAACCGAGAAATAAGTCGATACTTATTTGCGTTTTTTTTATTTTACATGACTCGCCATCATATCTACTCGTCTGAGTCGAGCACTTTTGGCACTCGATTCGTTTCCCTCGCATTGATCGTCCACAAAGGTCTTCACGTGTCGTTCCGGATGCTGCTTGCGGGTTTCGTTTTCTTTATGAACGTCATAAAAGCTGGTCGAGTCGATTCTCCTTCTAGTCTTGAAGACGGCAGAGATAAGACGTTCTCACATGCGTTCGAGGAGAGCATTGGTGATGGATCGAACTAACACCTTACTTTCTGATGAACTGCACCACTAACGACTGCGCAGTCCCCCGCCCCATAGGTCAACATTTCCATCCTTGTGAACCCAAGTCGGGTTGAGCGAATGCCAGTAGTAACTGCCATCCTGGTGGTGAAATAATCATAGATTTTTAAATCTCCTTCCGATCTAAAAGAGCCAGCGAACATGATAGCCTAACGACTCTACAGAAGGGAAATGCAGACAAACCAGAAAACGAGCAAGGAAATAAAGACTCTGACGGCTCAGACGATTACTCTTAAACATGGGCCATTCAAACAGAAAAGCCTCGAAACTGCTGAAAATCGGTTGAGGTGTTTTTCATGCTGAGGTAAAGAAAAGCGCGATGCAAATTGAGAAGATTGGAACGACTGAAAGCATTAGAAAGCACAGCTAGGGAGAGGAAAAAAACAAACAAGGAAGGGAAACAGAAAAGAGGAGATGAAAACAGAAAGGGGGAAATTTACAAGAAAGGAAACGAAATGGAAATAAGTAGATATCAGGGTAAAAAGAACAAGACAAAAGAAGAGGAAGAAGGTAAAGGGAAAAGGGAACGGTAAAGAGAGAAGAGATAAGGAGGAAAAGAAAGGAAGACTGAGGAATGAACTATGTTAGCGACACACACAATAATAGTCTATGAGCAGTTTGCCGACAGATAGACAAAGCACAACTTAACTGAATGCGGTTAGACATTTCGATAATCGTTTCTGCACAATGTATTGAAAAAATACGAGTAGGTTGCTGGTTCGATCTGGCCTGGGGTCCAAGTTTTGCCACTATCTCAGCATCCGTGTGGTTGTGTGCAGAAATCATTAGAAATATTGAGTTTCATCACCATTTGCGGAATAACCCAGTTGAAATTGCGAACACTTTCCATTCGGCGTACGACAGGTAATGAAAAATGTCGCCACAAAAAGCATCGGCAGCGGACAAGTGGATGACACCAGTCGCGTGACAAACTGGCCGACCACGGGACCCTTGGACCTGCAGCTCCTCCACGGAAGACCATGCACCCTGGACAAGGGGGAAACGTCGCCGTCGGCCCGGCTGTCTCCGTCGGACGGGGCGTGGCGGAAGATCGATATTCCCGTTGGCGTGCTGAGTGGCGACCGTGGGGTCGGACGGGGCGGGACTCCGTCATCTTCCAGCAAAATTCCTGAGTTCCATTAACAGCTACATCACTAAGATCACTACGATTGTAGCGACAGTTGGCAATAGTTTCTGTTAAGTTTAACAAAACAATACTACTAGGAGAGCTACACTGTTCACAAATGACTTTGTTAAATATGATGTGGATTTCGTCAACCTCAAGCAAATTCGTGGATTCCACTAATGGCTACATCGCCGTCGTTACGACTGGAGCGCCAGAGAGAAGTAATTCGTGTTTCGTATAGGAAAGCAATACTTCTAAGTTCACCTACTGCGTACTCCCAGTCGAACTAGTATAGTTCCTGGAGCAGAATACTGAAGGATTTGGGGAACTGCAGAAGTTATATCGAGGATTTTCTCATGCGTCCGTAACCTGAGTAGTGAGAAAAATCAGTCATTCATTAACCTTAGCAACATTTAGTGAGTAAAATGCTTGAAAGGATGCGAAATACGTTGATGCATTGAGGAAAGGTTAAAACACAAAGGTTCAAAGCAGAGGCAGCTGACGATTAGAGGTTTTGGTTCGACTGGAGGTCAATGAGCCATTTCTAGGCATTCGAGACGGTTAGTGCGGTTGACTTCCTCAGTAGTTATGGAGTGACTCTCCACTCGTATGGGGTGCTTCTCCAACAAACGTGCTCGATCCGTTGTGAAGACGTTTCAATTCTCACTTCCTTTTGAAGAAAATTTGTGATAATGAGTGATTTCCTCTGACGCTCAAGGACACTTGAGACTTGTCCATGTCGCTCAACACGATGCTGTTCTCCTCTGGATTTCAGTCCTTAGTTTTCTGTTCATCTTCTCTGTACAGTCGTTCTATTGAATCATTTCACACAAAAGTCGTATTTGAAGGGGATAGCAACAACACATTATATATTTTGCCTTCTACAATAGTACGTGGTGCAAAAAACTTCCACTTATGTAGCTACCGTAATAAAGAATGAAGTAACACCTCGTGTTTCCTCAGGAAGAATATAGAGCGTTATTTGATCAGCGTTAAGTTTAATAGAAAGTTCTTCGTGAGAATTTCCACTGATGTATATATCTTTGGGCCCAAAAGGCTTCTTAAAAGTTTTTGCCGTTATATAAAAGGATTAAGGATAGAACTTTCGGTGTTGAACAGTGCCTAGGCGATACCGATGTATTGATATGGGTCAGAGCTGTTATCCTCTCAGGCAAATCTGGTACCAATTTGCTGACCTCGTTAGGGATGTAGTTGGTGAGCATGGCCCCCGAGGGGGTTATGTATTTAGAGGATGGCCCCCGAGGGGGTTATGTATTTTGGGGTCGAGCCGATGATTATGTATTTTGCAGGGCATCTCAAACCACTGCGTTACAGGCGCCTCTTTTGCTCTCACACGCTAATGTGAAATGAAAATGATAGTACTACGTGGACATGAAAATGACCATAGAAAAATGGATGAGAGAAAAAATTGAAGAACTGCTATGCTTTTGAATATTTTTAGCTACTGGAAATTTTGCTTGTAGCTACCAATAGTGACGTTTGGGGATTGAGAAGAGCTTTACAGCGCTACAAAATACCAATGTTGGCACCGGCTTACAAACTTGATTACCGCGCGATATAAAGAGATTTTTGATAACCTCCAGTGTTTCTTGATAACTTGGCATGACAAGCTTGCACAGGGACTCTGAGCTATTATTCCAATAGTGTACAGCGTTGTTCTAAAAATGTTGTTTCTTTTTGAAATGAAAATGATAGTAAATGATACTTTTTGAAATGAGTCCCACACGTAACATCACGGCTCTGAGGAAGGCGAAGTCGCCGAAACGTCAGCTATAGACCAACGACACCAACAACAACGGCAACAACAACGAAGACCTGTACCAACCTCGCGTCAGCTTAAGAAGATCAGTTTATAAAATCACATAAATAAATATATCAACTATCCATGCCAAGGTTTATAGGAAGTCGGTCTTTCGAATGTCGTTTTTGTTTCAATTTTGCCTAAATTTTATATTTGAAAAAAGAACAGCCAAAAAGTTTCAGCTTGTAAAATGGCTGGCAAAGGCCCGGAATGCGCAAGCATCAATGATGCATTATCGATGGCATCATTACGGCCGGCCGGATGAAATGTTGCTTGCTCAGTGGCTTCGATGTTAAAGTAACGACCTTTGACGAAAAAAAGCGGAAAAAGAGAGATAAACCCGCTACGAGTCTCAGAGGACCATAAATTTACTTTTAAAGGATGAGAAATGCTTCATGTTGTTCATAAACATTTTGCAGTCTTAAGGACATGCAGTTTTAACGAAATATTTCTGGAGAAATGGGAATTTCCGAAAGCAAGGCTTCGTCTTATAAAACAGTCTTTAATAAAAAAAAGAAGCTAGCTGAGAGACAGGCGAAACGAAGGACCCGCATGATGTGGTGGTGAACGCGTTATCCCCCGGAAGGGTAATAGCGCG